TTACTTTTAATGCCACTGGGTGGATGTAGACAGACACACCCTTACCCTCCACAACAGAAAACAACCTTCCAACCTCAATTGAGAACAAATAGCAGTCTACACAAGGCCAGGGTAATATTTTTAATGTAAGTTTTTAAATCTTTATTTTACTGTAGAATGTGTTTTTTTAAAATATTTTTTTATGAAACCACTTCCGCATAACTTTATTATAGCGGAATATTGCTACACATAAGAGACAGTGATGGTGCAGCTTTGAGCTCTATTTTTCCTTTTTCTTTAACACAGAATTCATATAAATTCATATATTTTTCACATCCTTTATGCAATCTGTGCATAAATTGTGAAATGCCTTACTGCAACATGTTAATGTACCACATGACGCATGCATGAAAACACATGATGTGAATCCAACTATAAATTGATGCGCTCACTGCTATAAACGTTCCAATAAATAAAGAATTAAAATGAGACAGTGGCTTTCTAGCAGTACATGTATATCCTCTGCTGCTTCATCTAGAAAGTTAGAAATGGTTTTCAATCATCTTGATGGCTCATGTGCCAGCAGCATAAGAGGCTCACTAGCCGTTCACCTATGACAAGTGTGTAGCAGTAGGTAATTGACTCTATATGTTTTCTTTTTTTTTTCTTTTCGTTTGTCTCTGTCTCTATTGCTAACTTTTATATGCCAGGCAACAAAAATTGAAATCCCAGGTTGAAAGACTTTCAAACAGCCATCATGGCTTATTTGATTAGGACCGACTAGCTGTTTGTTGGTTTAAATCAGCCTTTCTTGACTTTTTATGGCAAAATTATTTTCAGTAATAATAATGAAGTCAAACTAATAACAATGATGGCCAGAAACGAAATGCAGATGAAAACTGTGTTCTCTTACATTGGTGGACATTGGAGAAGCACCTGCTTTTGTTGATGGCAACTTAAGATGTGTCCCCTTATGTTTGTGGTCAGTAAAGTGCCCCCATACATTGGTGGTCAATGATATTCTCTCAGTGGAGAAGCACCTGCTTCTGTTGATGGCAACTTAAGATGTGTCCCCTTATGTCTGTGGTCAGTAAAGTGTCCTGGTACATTGGTGGTCAGTGATATTCTCTCAGTGGAGAAGCACCTGTTATTGTTGATGGCAACTTAAGATGTGTCCCCTTATATTAGCGGTCAGTAAAGTGCCCCCGTACATTGGTGGTCAGTGATATTCTCTCAGTGGAGAAGCACCTGTTATTGTTGATGGCAACTTAAGATGTGTCCCCTTATATTACCAGTCAGTAAAGTGCTCCCATACATTGGTGGTCAATGATATTCTCTCAGTGGAGAAGCACCTGTTATTGTTGATGGCAACTTAAGATGTCTCCCCTTATATTACCGGTCAGTAAAGTGCCCCCGTACATTGGTGGTCAATGATATTCTCTCAGTGGAGAAGCACCTGTTATTGTTAATGGCAACTTAAGATGTCTCCCCTTATATTACCAGTCAGTAAAGTGCCCCCATACATTGGTGGTCAATGATATTCTCTCAGTGGAGAAGCACCTGTTATTGTTGATGGCAACTTAAGATGTGTCCCCTTATATTAGTGGTCAGTAAAGTGCCCCTGTACATTGGTGGTCAATGATATTCTCTCAGTGGAGAAGCACCTGCTTTTGTTAATGGCAACTTATGATGTGTTCCCTTATATTATTGGTCAGTAAAGTGCCCCTGTACATTGGTGGTCAGTGATGTGCTCTCTTCGATTGGCAACCATCAGAAGAACCTTCGGGTTCCAGAGCACCCTGGTTGAGAGCGGTTGATGTAGATGACAAAGGTTGTTATGCTGAATATAGCATCTTTTCTGTTTGTCGATTTGTGTATATGGTAAACTACTGCATAGACTTCCAATGACGGGGATGTGATTTATGGGATCAAGCAACAAGGTACTACATATCACAATATAACACATGGTGCTATATCATCCAAAGAAAACACACAAAGGGTTTTTTAACAAAAAAATATTTTTATATCAGAGCAGTATATAAACACATTTGAAGTGCAGTGTCTTCTATGTACACAGTGGCAAAAATATAAATATATTGCTTTACCAATACCTATATACATATCTCTAAGCATGCAGGAAGTGTCTTCATGCAGCGGGTATACTGCAGATTTAAATAACTTAAATATATATAGATTTGTTTGCTTGACTGTTCCTAATTGCTGTACACATGAGGTAGACGGTATGGGCCCAGCATTTTGCATCATGCATATTTGAAGGCCCTATCAGATTCATTTACTAAGGTTGTTCAAAGTGCAGTACTCCAAAGCAACCAATGAGTGTTAAACTTCAGTAAACTGAACTCTGATTAGCTGCAATGGTTTACTGCATGGTAACGAGCCATTTACACTTTGGATTACCTTAGTAATAAGCACTGTATAATGTATTTGTTAGGGCTTGCTAAAGCAGGAGGAAATAAAAAGCACAGTTTGAATTATCTGGGGTGCCAGCGGGAGTTGACAGACATTTTTCTGTCAGTTTGCTAGTTTTTAGAGCATTTGCAGATCTAATTTTAATCCTGCCCTCAAAATGGCATCCATGTCCTTGTATATGTGACAAGTATACTTTTACCATTATCATTACACATGCAAAAATAGGTATAGACAATTAGGCTCTTTCACACGGGCAGTTAGATTTCAGCTTTTAGCTGTGGTTAGAGGAACTTATTTACTGCAGCTAAATGCAGACAATGCATCCCTATGGCTCCATTCACACACTGCGTTTAGCAATGTTTTCATAACATACGATTTTATGCATTTAGGAAAAAAAAAGTTGACAGCGTCCAGGAGCATTGTACTGCAGCTGTCTGTACATAAACGCAGGTAATCGCACTACAAAGAAAAAATAAGTTAACAGTTGCTATAGCAAAGGCAAGAATTTACTATCTCAGCTAAACACAGCCGCGTGGAAACGCACGTAATCACAGGTAAACGCAATGTACAAACGTGAGTGATCTCTGTGCCAGGAGTGTGGAATTTTAAAATGAAAAAAAAAAAAACATGTATTTACAAGTGGCAGAACAACCGCCCGTGTGAAAGAGGCCTTAGAAGACATGTTGCTGCTCTAGCTGAGGAATCCTCACACTTTCTAATCAAAGGGCTGGTTCTCTGGCTTTCAGTTTTTAGGTGGGATAGACTGTGGCTAGTGAGAGTAGGAAATGCCCAGGGTCAGTGGTAAGTTGGAGTAAAAAAATTCCATACTTCTGTAAGTGGGAGGAATTTTCCCCCGTTTTTGGCATTAGTGGTAGGAATTGCACCCCATCATTGGTGTCAGTGAGAAGAACAGTGCCTTATTGTTGGTGTCAGTGAGAGAGGAATCGTACCCCATCAATGGTGTCAGTGGGAGGAGTTGTACTACATTGTTGGTGTCAGTTGGAGGAATTCTACCGAATCATTGGCATCTGTGGGATGAATTGTGCTCAACTGTTGGTGCTAGAGGGAAGAATTGTACCCAAGTGTTGTTTTTTGTATATTTTTGTAATAGTGCACACAAACATTTGCCTTTAGACTACTTAGTCTGAAATAGGCATTCTTGTAATCATAGTTCTATGGATAGTCCTTTGTTATACTGGACAGGGGATATTTGCCCACAAAATGATAATCAATATTAAGGATGAGCTTGACTGAATCTGTAGTTTGGTCCAATTTAGGATCTGATCCATAGGACTGGCAACCTTTTTACAGTGATGGAATATTCAGATACACAGGTACTGAGCAGCTGGCAGGAACCATATGTGGCTCCTACGTCATGGGCTGTGGACAGTTGCTGTAGATCAACACTTGCTATTGCATACACGTCTCATTTTCAGAAGACAATGGTCAAGACAGATCTTGGACATAAGCAGGGTGTTGGGAGGGCAACTGTGAGGAAGGCAGAGAGAGAGCACAATTGGGCATCTCTATAAGATGTAATCAGGTTCTGACTAGAGTTCACTGTATAAAGGTATGTGTAGACATGAACAGGATCTACATTGCCTCCCTCCAATGGTGGCCATCATATAGTCTCCTTATCTCTAAGGAGACTGCTTGTGTCAGTAGACATTTACATGCTTGAAAATACAAACAACATGATCACTTTGCATTGCATTTTGGCACTTTGAGTATTCTGAGACATGACTATATCTCTTGACACACACAGTCACCATAGAGATTAAAATCTCTTTTTATATATATAGATGGCAAGTGCAGTGGCCTGGTGACATCAGCTTTTGTATATCTCTACAACACATTTACGTGTAAATTAGGACATTTATGTACAGAAAATGTTGAGTCCTTGGTGGTCTATATAAATAAGATTTTCCTCTTTGTGGTTATGGTTGAGTTATTTGCAGGTGAAATGAAATCTGTGGCCTATGTGCAGCCGGTATTGAGAAAACGTGTGATCCTAACAAATCACGTGACTGGTTTTAGATGCTCTTGATTAGATGGAAACAAATCATGTGACTGGTTTTAGATGCTCTTGATTAGGTGGAAACAAATCACGTGACTGGTTTTAGATGCTCTTGATTAGGTGGAAACAAATCACGTGACTGGTTTTAGATGCTCTCGTTTAGGTGGAACCAATCACGTGACTAGCATTGGATGCTAGCCAATGGATTACGCAGAACTAACCAATGCAAAATACTGCGGATGAAACTTAATTGCAGAGCTGACATTAAATGTTGCAGCATATGTTGGGCAGTGATCTAAAGTGTGTTTAAGAGGCAGTGGCTGTTTGGAATGTGGAATAAATATCTCTGCATAGTTATAATTTGAAATATTCTAATGCTGAATGGAATATACCCCATGTCAAAGTAAAGTATTAAGATCAGTGACAACATCCAGTACTTTATCGTCAGTTCATGTAGTCTTAACAAGTCCCATGATGTACCCCTTTCCTTTATGTGCACAATGCAGTCTCATGAATAAGAGGCAGAATGAGCCCCTTTTGCAATGTATTATTCTTCGCATAGTCCACGTTGACATTATTGTTTGCATGTATAGGTGTCCTGTTGCTGAACGCACTTCTGACACTCCACGTGGCAGCACCAGTGTACTTGACAGTGGCAGGAAAAAGTGACCATTCGGCTTTGGGTGTTGTACCCTCTACCACAACACAGACTGTCACATGTGGTCTCTCTTGCGCACACTCTTCCTGCAGTCCCAGGAGAAAAGCGACTGGTGCGGCAGAAGCTTGGAGAGTCTTCTAAATAAACGAGATCTGTAGAGCGAATAGCACGGCCAGCGAAGGAATGTCCTAGAGACTCGTGGCCCCCAACTGCCTCATTTGTTGCTCCCAGGACTTTGAGGGCATTGTCATACTTTGCTTTGAGCAGAGCTCCCGTCTCGTGGAAGGGGGAAAGTTGTTTCCAGCAGGTGCGTACTGCACAAGACCCAGAAACTCCGTGACACTTGCATGTTGTCTTTAACCCACTCTTTACAGCCTAAAAATGAACAAATAGGGAAAAAAATCAGGACCTGAACAAAAACAGTCACACTACTTGTCATTAACTGGATATTTCCTAACTTAAAGTGGACCTCCACTTCACAGACTTGGAGCTTTAAAACCCCACAAGCCTCTTGCCCTCCAAAATGTGAAAAGCCTCCTTCTACCTGTATCACCATTCTCGCCTAGGTGAGAATGATGGCTCCTCTGCTTTTGAAGCCTTCTGGAATATGCACATAACAACATACCCCAGGGGGCATCAGCTTCAACACTGTGGCCTGAGTACCTGGTGGTGTGTTATCAGGGTGCTGGCTGCTTAAACTAGCAAGAGACAGTCAGTTGCAGATGACACAGGAAGACAGTGCAAGACACGGCGTGCAGCCGTGTTCAGCAGGGCATAGCTGGATTCACTTGGCACGTGAGTATGTTTTTTGAGAACACCCCAGCAGTAAAAAATAAAAGGGGAAAAAAAATGTATGGGGGGAGGGACATACTTTTTTTATTTTAAAATGGTTGTAAAACGTTTTCTAAATAACAAACAGGTTTATACTTACCTGCTCTGTGCAATTCCATTGCACAGTGCTGCCCCAAAGTTCCTTTTCTCAGGTCCCCCGCTGGCGCTCTTGGCACCTCCTCTTCTGTAAGTGCCCCATAACAAGTTGATTCCTATGGGGGCACTTGTGTAGGCTCAATCCCTGATCCCTTCTCACTGAATCTGACTGACAGCAGCAGGCTCCCACTGCTGCCTGTCAGTCCCTGTTTGAGCAGGTAGAGAAAGAGAGAAGACTCCAGCCAGGCAAAGCGTTGGATTGAGTGAGGACTCAGGTAAGTATAAGGTGGGTGAGGGAGGCAATACTATTACCTAAACATTTTTTACCTTAATGTAGGGAGTGCATTAAAGTAAAAAATATTTAGGCTATAGAACCACTTTAAAGCTCAAAAGATAGAAAACACAACTGATAAAGCAGCTCTGTATTCATTAATGCTTTATTGAATTTATATTTAAATGCTAGCAGTATATGTGCCTGAATTTGACCTGGGTATCGGCCCTCTTACAACTGGCTGTACAGCAGAACTATGAGTGGGAGAGGAGAAGCAGCACAAGGAGCCAATTTGTTGCACCGCAGTGCTCATGTGTTGGCAAGGACACAAGACAAATAAGAGCTTGCCAGTCTACTGCTTCTTCTTTCACTGTTCAGTCCCAGGATGGGGGAGGGACAAGTGATTCTTAACTGCAGCAGAGGAAAATGTTAGGTATCCTGCCCTGTCAGGCAGAACTGTGCAAATTTCAGGATTGGATGAGCAGAAAAACGAATCCTTTGGCAGGTAAAACAGCTCTTTTAGGCGTATTTCATCTATGTGTTTAGCTGATTGCCCAGAGTTTAAAGTTAGGGACCGGCCATGACAGAAATATACTTTGAGCAACTGACCCAGGACAAGTATGCAGTTCAGTTCTTTTGCATATTTTATTTTAAATCAATCTCATAAAATGTTGACGATCAAAATGATAGCCAGGAACTTAGCATTTTACGTAATTGGTCTAGTGAGATCTAATTTCTGTCATGGCTGGTCTAACTTATAACTTTGTCTGGTTATCACACATAATACTCTTAATAGGCCATCCAGTTTTTCTAGGTACAATAGGGCTGAACACATAGTTGATGTTACACTAGAATACAGCCTTTCCAAGCAGTACTAGCATTTGAAAATGTTGTAAACCTCATCATTGTGTAGTTATGTAAAGACACTCAAGTCAGTTGCAGCATTCTGCAATATTCTTGTGGAAAATAATGTACATTGTGTGATTTGATTGAAAGACATACATATACAGTGAGCAGTAGGCAGAATATTGTCTTAGTTTGGTTCTGCTGTGGGTTCTAGAGGAATAAAAGGGAAGAAATCCAAGGAGTCAGGACAACATCCATGTGGATCCGTTTTTTGCCACATCTAGGTAGTTATATGGCTCAGTTGCTTTAGCAGTTCACCTGAGCATGGCAAGGAAATGAAGACATTTATACTCTGTTTAGGGTCAAGTATATACTGTAAATCTTCCTTTTTTTTTTTTCTCCTAATGGTCAGCTGGGCATGGATATATCAAAGATGGCAGCATACACACTTGGGTTGTGTCCCTTGACACATGGATTTCCATGGATCTTGTCCCTCCTCATCCTACAGTAGAGGAGCACATTGTATATTGTAGAGCCTAACATAAGCAGGTACAGTGACCCTCTCAGGTATATTGTCCCTTCTGTTACTCTTTCGAGTCATCTTTATCTTCATTATGATCACCAGGGCTCACTCCATTGTAACCCAGCCAAATACCCATTTCTGGTGTCTTTACAAGTAACTGAAAGCCAAAAATGCAAGCAGCTTGGCACCACATTTGCAGACACTGGATGTATACAGTCAGTTGAGGTACATGAAGTTTAGTACTTCTGGTCTTAATTAGAATTCAAACGTGAAACAGAATGAAACACTTTGACAGCCATGCTCTGCTTGTATTCTAAATATAAAAACATTTAGATCTATATGATGTTTTTTTGTGTTTGTAGTTTTGGATTATGTCAACTTGTGCCATCTGTAAACTGAAATTCAAACCAGTTTCTGTCATACATCCTTTTTATCCATTTGTTGCACAGATGTGTACAGGGGGACATTTATTTTATAACTATACAGCTGGATATATAAAGTACTTGTCTCCTTCCTAATGTTTTATATACTGCCAAACCAACTTTATGTTTAAAGATTTTAGGTCAGGGTGTTTTGCTAATTGTTGCGCACTCACCTTAATGCCTGCGTGAGTATTATGTAAGTCCACTTTGGCTCTTGTGTCTCTTCCCCCCTTTTTTTGGCCCAAAAAGTTCTGCAGAAAACGTGTGCTGTGTCGCAGGTTGTCCCCCCACACACCCCCCACTGCCAAGCCCGCTGACTCTCCAGGCCGGGAGAGTCGTCACACGTACAACGCTCCATCTTGCCTCCGCTGCAGGCCTTGGCCAATGAGTGAGTCAGTGCTGCAGCCGACACTGCATACAGGAATGCTGTCTCTTTAAATCCTGAGGAAAGAACAATTTTATTGATTTCTGTTATTATTGTAGAAGTCTGTTTCATTTATTTCCCTGACAACATCACTAATTTAACCTTGGCGCACGAGTCTAACAGTGCTGCTCTGCAGGCTAATAAGACGCAGAAGGGTTGACAACCAAAGCAACAACCTAGTGACCAGCACTACACATAATCATCGATAAACCTTTGACCACCATAATATTTCTGATAAAGTCTCATCCATACCTAGGCATAATAAACACCCCTGTATATAGGGAATGACCACCACTATCATTACAGCTAAAACTCAGAATGATCACCACACACCACATAAAGCTAGGGAGTAGATGGTATCCATATCCACTTCTTAGGCAAGATTTTACTAGACAATGTAACCTGCTCCAATTAGGGTTGGCTCCTTAGTTTAGTTTTTGCATTTTCTAATATTAGCATTATCTAAAGATTCTTTCTATTGAGGAGCCATTGTTGGCCCAACTACCTTACCTCTTTTCAGGAGGCTCCCCCTGCCCTGCAGGCTGCAGTTCCAGCGTTCGCTACGCAGCTGGAATTGGCACTCCACAATGCCCAGTCGTACAGCTTCCTTTAGTGCCTCTGCCAGGCCAGGTTCCTTCCGGCACAGTCTCCTCTGGCGGCGGGTCAGAGGCAGCAGATCACACTGTTTTAGGTGGGGTCGGCTGTGGGCGCTGCCAGTTGCAGGAGATGGTGATGTGTAGTGAGAGAGGGACTCCTTGCTTGTCAGTCTGTATAGGCAAAGGACAAGAAAAACATAAGGATAGGGATAGTTTTATTGTCATTCCAGAACATGGTATACATGAAAGCGAAGTAAAGGTACTCAGGTTTCGGTAGGAACAATAATACAATCTAGGCAAAACGTGCACTAATACACATTTAAAATAAAATAACTAAATATGTAAACCTGAGTACATAATACAATAACATACCATGCATAATTATAGAAAGCATTTTAGGTATGTCCTTTGCGGAGTAGGAAAGTTTGAATATAATTTGGCTCATAGGTTGGCTACCTGATGAGTAAGAATTTAAGAACCTTCAATTTTCATTGTAAAATCAAGCCTACATAGTATAATACAACAAGTAAAAAGTCACTCAGGGTGACCAGAGGCAGACCATTGTACTAACTGCATGATACAGCCACTTTCCCTACCACCATCCAATGAAGTAAGAACTCGGTGAAAAAGGAGTATGACACTCGAATGTACTTATTACTTGTCTGCTGTTAACTCTTATGAAACCCAACTGTAGCAAGCCATATTCCAACCTTCCATATATACAGTTTATAGTCCTTGATTTGTAGCCCATGTTAAAAATATATACCAATATGGTGAGTACTGAAAGGCAGTAACTACATATTTAGTTGTAATATGTATGGGCTTATCAGCCAAAATCTAGAAACTCAAAACAACCAATTACATTCCCCTTTTAATTTTTAGGAGTAGATAGGATTGATTCTGATTTAATTTCTATGAGCTGTTGTGATGTGTACATTGCTTTTGACTTCTAAATCAAATATTGTATTGTGCAGCTATTGCATGCTTTATATACACATGGCATGGACACAAGTGATTTGTATATTACACATGCATAGGGCGATAAACTATTTTCATTCATTCCGGTGGGATGCCGCCTCCTGTACTAAGCTACTTAAAGTGACTGTTGTAAAAAGTATTTAGTGGTCTTTTGTTTGTGAAAATACTACTGAGCATTGACACATTATTACATACTGGCTGGTTTTTAAAGCCCTTAGAATACATATAGGTAAACTTTCTGCATTTATTGGCTTGATTTGTACTGTTAATACATTCTTGGTTCTTTTTTCCTGTCCTGTATCATAATATCAGGTTTACAGTATATAATTATTCCACACAATTGTTATGCATTTTTTGTATA